GAGGGGGGAGGGGATGAGTAAATTAGTACCTGCTTTTTCGAACTGTCGTGAAGAAGCGATCCAATAAAATAAAATAATCTGGGAAGTCAGACGGTGGGGTTCGATCCCAGGTCTCCACATTCCCATGCGGCCACAAAACGGCTTCATTCCAGACACCCAAATAACGGCGTCTATTGTGTTGCGGTAAGGCTGCTGCCGTCACTCACAGAAGACATATACGTTTGAGAGTTCTCGTGGCCTAGAGGTTAAGGTGTTCGCTTCTCATTCAAAGGTCCCGGGTTCGAATCCGGGTAGGGACGGAAAATATTTTGTTTTTTAAAATTCTCTCCTTTCACCTCCTTTCCTGCTCTCTAGCAATGTTCTGTCGTCTGCTTTCGTCTCCACTTTCTGCCCTCACCCCCTTACCTCCTTTGCCCCCTCCTTTAGACTCCTGACTCTTTCTGCAGCCTTTCAACTTCTACTCGCTGGCTCCTTCTTACTGCTGTCTTTCAGCCACACCCCTGATCTTCTGGTAGGAAAGATCTACACCTAGCCTTCTCGGACAAGGGCGAAAATTCTCGGAGGTCCCGGGAGCAAGTTGCGCACGTTAACGATCCTTTGGTGGTCTAAAATCGCTAAGAGTAGGCTTCGGCCGCCACCCGGGCAAATTAAAAAATTTCCTATCAACTGAAAATGTTTGGTGTGTCCCGCGCGCTCACATTATGACCTTATGCAGTTGCCAGCGCCGTAAAACGTTTACCTTAAAAAAAGACATAAGTTTGATTCCCGAGAGGGGAGGTTTTTAAATCGAGTCTGTCTGCAGGAGCATTGAGTTCCTCTAGCCTGGTTTGGTCCTGCTGACTGTCAGGATAGGAAGGAGCCGACCCCTTAGTTGATCTAGGTTGTGTTGATGGGCGACGTAACATATTTCATATTGCATTTACAGACACCCAGCAATACAACGAATTAAATCATATTATACTGAGATAGAAAGCTTTTCCTATTATATAAGCTCTTAGGTTTACCATTACTATATGGGACACTCGTCGCCTGGGTACAGCAACCTTGTATACCACAAAAACAAAATTTAAAGACAAATGAAAAAAACCACAACTTTGTCCATTCATCTAACAATGTTAAAAATGTAAGTCTGAATGTTGCTCTGGCGATGTTTATTGAGCTACATGTTAAAACATTTGACACAAAATCCGCAACGTCACATTTTGTAGAAAAAAGCAAAAAAGTGTTATTGGACATAGTGTGGGTTACAGGGTTGTTGTGCTCAGGCAGCGCACTGATGA